AGTGTCAAACCATTTCAATGTACAGAGTTAGTTAAGAATTTCAGTCCTTTTATTCAAAATTTTGTTTGACCATTTAACTGTCAGCTGGCACCTGCAGTTTGTCACAGTAACGTGTGATGCTTTTAACAGCCTGCTTGCCATTCAAAGCAGTAGAATACTCCTCTGGTTAAGCTGTATAGTAGATGATTAATCATATACTCCTTGTCTCATCAGCAGCATCTATAATTAAGGAGATTAGAGTCCGGGTTTACGCCGCAGTCATTCAGGTCCAGGACACAACAAGGCCCAGCACAGTGTAATAATATTGAGATTGAGTGCAGTGCAGTGTTTGTCAAGCTTTATTGTTGTGTGTATGCGTCCGTCTGTCATTCACACCAGGCCGGCTATTGAGGGAGAAAGGTTCGGGGCTGTAGGAGGAAGGAGACATGTTCAGACAGCCCACTGATCCCTCTGGACATAACTAGAGCTGTCTTTCTCTTTTCTTTTGCTATGTCTGTTTCCATTGGTGGCTCTGTGTGAGTGATAGGGAGGCGGTTGAGGAGAGAGAAGGGGTGAGCTATTGGCCTTGTCCTATTTTTGTGGAACAGCTCTCCCTGTAGTGAGATTTCTTTGAAGCATATTTTTTCCTTCATCATCACACATGCCTCCTAACCTGTGCATGCATCTAAACATGATTGACAGATCTTCTATAGCTCTTCATTTCAAAGCAGAACAGGATCCAGGTTTTCCTCCAGTAGGCTAATACATCCTGTCATGCTCACTGGCTGGGAAATTTGCATAGTAAGGAGGTTAAAAATAGACCAAAACTTACAGTGTTGCCCGAAGAATGTAAGAGGAGCATTTCAGTTTGTATTTCTCAGGATAGACAATATGGCTACCATATTAAAGAAAACGCCAACATTTTGCGAAATGCACTTACTCACATTCCTCCCGAGAGCCAGATGAGAAGATTGATACCACTCTCATCTGTACAGTAAATATAAAACTACAGCTAGCAGCTGGTTGGCTTAGCTTAGCATGGACTGGAAACATGCAAACGGCTAGTCTGGCTCTGTCCATAGGCAACAAAATCCGCCTTCCGAGTTTTGTATGGATTAAACAAACAAGATATAGCATGTTAATTAGTGAGCTTTAGAGCTTTGGAGCTGCTAGTAAGAAGATTTCGATACTTTTGGACAGAGCCAGGCTAGTTTTTTCATCCTGTCTTTTTGCTAAGCTAAGCTAACCAGCTGCTGGCTATAGTTTCAGAAATTGCGTACAGACATGAGAGTGATATTCATCTTCTAATCTAGTCCCTTCTCCTTGCATCTCCTTATGTGTAGAATGTAAAGAGTGACTATATGGCATAAACCCAGGATACAATCAACAAATTAAAATGATTTAGAAGTCAATTCAGTAAGCAGCAGAGTTAACAGGGTTATTCTCTGTTTATTAGGCAGAACATGGTTTTTATTAGGGTGCTCAGTCTTTGCTGCATATTATCCTCCCTGTCTTTTTCTCTTATCAAGTGTTGAAACTCTCTGCTGTACAGATAAATAAAGACAAAATGACCTAAGCACACAAACATTTCACCTCAAAAAGCAGAGGACGGTACATCAGTGCAACACAGTTTCACAGGATGTGAAAATGAGGCTAAAATGAGCTAAAGGCTGCAAGTTTTAAAGAAACAGATGTGATCATTTCAGTGGTTCAGTAGACTTTAATTCTTTTTTGGTCTTTTTATATTTTATTTCCATGCTCTTGTTTTCATGTAAACACCCGTTAAGTCCAGTTTTAGTGGTTTTCAGCTATTTATTTCAGTTGAAGAAATTTGATAACCTTGGACTAAAGGCAGGGACACACATTACAACTGCTGAGCTGATTATAACTATGATTTGGGCGTGACAACTGAGGTCTGTTCCAGTCTGGGTCAGTTGGTGCTCACACTTGGCAGATATAATGTGTGATGTGTAAAGACTGTAATTTTGTGGACTGTAGATCCAGTCATCCGCCGTCTACCGAGAAAACTGCTAACAAGTAATTCAGTGTGTTATCTGGTGTTTTACATTTACTCACTCCGTAAGAGAGTCAATTAAAGCAGTGCTCCAATGATTTAGCATTGCACTTTTTTTTAAGTTAAAGGAATCAAAACAAAACCACAGACACTGAGATATTTTGACTTTTAAGCTATAGAATGAGTCAAGCTCCAAAAACACTGGATCTTACAATTCCCATAATGAAATACCTCATGTTAGACCCTCCCTTTCTGATAAATGCTAATTTTGTAACAGAGGTTTTCTGTTAAAATGTTGAAGTCTGCCCAGTCTGAGAGAACGCTCATCAAATGTATATTTTTGTTTCGAGGTTTGTGTTAAACTTACTGCTCTTTAGTCACTGTGTGAGTGCCTGTTCAGTTAAAAATAATAATCTAAAATTCAGTTGGCCAAATCTGATACAACAGATATGGCATCTGTTTTGATAGCCATAGGCAAAGTTCTCTTTAAGTTGAGGACATTTCTGTGGATCATAATGCTGTATGAGTTCAACAAGCAGCAGCTTTATTCTTCATAGGAATAAATCCCTGTCACACTTTTCAGGCCTGTGCAGTTGGAGATGAAAGGTCTAAATTTGTGATTTGGTGAAGAATCATCAGGGAAGAGGAGGGTAGGATGGAGTCAACTAGACAGGGAAAGAGAGAGGAATGGAAGGATCATAAGTAGACAAGTAATGTATGTGATGGAGTAAGGGGAGAGAGAAAACAGAGTGAAAGAGTATAAAGCAGTTACTATTTATCAGGGCTTTGTCTCAACAGCCAACATTGGAGACAGTGTTTGTAATGTGTTTGTAAGTATGTGCGTAAGTGGGAAAGTATGCTGTTAAAATCCATCAAAAGTGTGCCCCTACATTACACCACAATTGTTAGTTCCAGTTATCTATCCAGTTGATAACATTAGCACTGTATGTGAGGAGATACTAAGCCTGCACCCACATATATTAGACCCGAGCCTAACCCAACGTTATAATTTGGTTATTCCTTCATCAAAGAGAAAGAGATATTATTGCTTTGGGCACAGATAATGGTATTCTTACATAAGAAGAACAACTACTCTAGCACAGTAGCCTACCAGCATAAAGCAAAAGTTGCCTGTAATAGCCAGTTAGGTACTCCTCTTAGGTTATTTTTTTAGTGGCAATAATAATCACACAAATTGCAGCCAACTACCAGTTAATGACACAATATTATATCATCATAATGAACCATGTGCCTCACCTCAATATGATGCTCAACTTCTCCCAGTATTGCCTGAATGAACATGGCTGGTACATTATTTTCCTAGCTGAATTTGAGATTTCAAACAGTAATAAATCCAGAACAAATGCATACAGCAGGCATGATGCAGTCCTACAATGGTCATAATTTTATCACAATGAAGGAGCCTTCCTCTGGATGGTTTGGGTTTTTGAGAAGCTCCCTTTTAACAAGGGATTCCTTCCATCACTGTTACTATTTACAGCACTGGGTCACTGCTTCTGCACAGTGCACAGATTGCTGATAGGTTGATCATAAATCTGGCAACACATAGACTACGCTCTCTCTTTCTCTTGATTTTTTTCCAGTTTAGCATTAGAGGACCAGTGGCAGTTTAGTGGCATCTAGTGGTGAAATTGCAGATTGCAACCAACCGAATACAGCTCACCTTTCCAAGTTTGTAGAATAAAATATGGTGGCTCCAAAAAAGCCCCATCTAGAGCCAGTGTTTACTTTGTCCATTCTGGGCTACTGTAGAAACATGGTGGTTCAACGTGGTGTAGAAGAGGACCCAGGCTCTCTTTGCCCCAAATCATATACACTGGACTTTTAAATATCCAGCTTCTCACAAATGGACACAGACAGATAGAAAATAACTACAACTACTAACTAAAACCCCCATTTGAGTCAATAGCTGGTAACAAGTAAACAGTCCAAGCCCAAGCCTAAACTTGATATCTTTTCAGGACCTGCTGTTGTCAGTTATTAGGACTTTACACTCAAGGCCACCACTCTGAGAAACACTGCTTCAGAGAGCCAGTTGACCCGTGTCAGAGGATAAGCTAGAGCATGAAATGATCGATTGTTTGTCTGTCCATTCCTGCGGATAAAAGTACAAGAAGTTTTTGATGAACCCAGGTGCTCAGAGGAGACTCGCTGAAAATACTGAAAATCCCTTTTGTGCTGCCAATTTACATCTCATGTGATGCCACTGTGGTTGCTATGTGTGGATATATGAAGGAAAGACAGAGAGGGGGAGAAAGCAAGGCGAGAAAAAGAGAGGGGTGCTGATTAAGATATGACAGTTGAGTCTGTTCCAACTCTTGCTTACACTTTACAGTGTGCATGCACACACACAAATCCAGCAATACACAGCTCCAGATGGTATTCATTTTATTGTGTCTTGTCGCTTGTGTCCTTGTCCATCATTCCTTCACACCTACACACGTGTTTACTTGGTGTGTTGTGCAGTGACTCATGTCCATCACTGAAGTCAAAAAGGAAAAAATTAACCTCCAGTTTGAAATCGAAGCATCAAGTTTATTCAGGAAGCCTTGTAAATATTCTTAAAAGACATCACCTGCATTGAAAACAACAAATATTTTTCTGTTGAAAAAGTAAGACAAGAAGTTTCTGTGCATTTACATAGAAATGTGCCTCTCTGTTAGCATCCTCATTGTGTTTACTGTGTTAGTTTCCCTCTGGATTCTGATTGACTAAAGGTCCTCTGTCCCCAGAAATGGATGCCAGTTATGGCGGAGGACTGTTGGATATGGTGAAGGGAGGAGCCGGGAAGTTCTTCAGCAACTTTAAGGACAACTTGAAGGACACACTGAAAGACACCTCCACCAAGGTCATGCATCAGGTTGCCACGTAAGTTACTGCTGTATTCATACACATTATGTCCTGTTCTTCTGCATAGCACCCACTGTTCACCACATTTCTGCTGCACTACAGGCTTATTTGTGATACAGGCACTTTGTATCCTACAGCAGTCCTGTGTGACTAGAGAAGTGGGGTCTTGCATTTAAATCTACTATTTCCACAGTAGTATCAATACAGACTCTAAACAGACTCCACCCTTCAATTGACATTGTACACTAAGTGCACTGCTCTTGCCCGCAAAAATGTAGGGCAACAAACTTATCATACGTCCAGCAAAAAAAGACAGGAGGCATGTTAGGCATAGTATTTGAAATTATATTATTACTTATCCAGCTTATCCAGGCAGACTGTAAACATCTGTGATCATAAAAATGCCTCTAAAGATGCAACCTGCTGCTAACTTTAATTGAGGGATCCAATCTTAGAATAGCTAGATGTTGAAGGGGCAAAAGTCGTGCTCCAAGTTTCTAACAGGATTCTGTTATACCAAGTAAAAGCACTTTATCAACCTACATTGCATTCTCTTATATATATTTTTTTGTCTTCTGACCTCTGCATTTCTATCCCTTTTTTTTACTTAAGATAAATAAAGTATGCTCGCTAGCTCTGTCCTTTTCCCCTTTTTTTAAATTAATAAGGGCAGTGTGAGAGGACAAAGGATTCACAGGCTGACACTCACTGGAGGTGCAAGTGGCAAAATTGCCTACTGTAATTTGCTGCTCTAAACTGTTGCGGCAATTACCTGCAATTTGCTTACCTGAATGGCACAGGTTAGAAAGTACATACAGGTCTAGAAGTGCAGATCTTAAAGCGCCAACATCATAGCTCTGCAACTGGATGATCTCAAAGGATCATATCAAAGGTAGATATGAGTGTACGACTTTTTAAACTGTGCAATTTGACCTGACCCATTGAAAACTGTGAGAGCAATGTCATAAAATCATTGGTTGTCAGTTGGAAAGAGTGGTCTTAGATTGTACTGTGAGACACATACACAGACAGCCATTTGGAGCCTTAGTGACCAAAGACAGCCTGCTTAAAATTGAATCATGAAGTATGACGTGAAGGGGTGACATGTCTCTGCTAGCATCTGTTTTTTAATTTACATTGTAGATTAGCACGCATTCATTGCATCTGAAATTCCTTCATACTGATAAGACTTTATTGGACCACCTCGCACAGTGTGAGATTGAGATTGTAAATAAAGTAATGCAAAATAGTTAACACTGCACAGACCTGGTCACTTCCTACGCTGCCGATTTTAACATCTGTGATTATGATTATTATGAACAATGAATGCTTTTCAGAAACTTAACTCAAATATTAATGTTGTTTCAGTTGATTATAATGTAAAGTGAGTCTCCCAACTGCTTTAGAAGTGAAACAGAGCAGTTTGGATGGAGGGAGGAAAGAGGGAGGTAGCAGAGTCTGGCACGGCTCGGCCGTCCCAGTGTGTTTGTGCACAGGCATCTGCACAGGGCAGAACAAAGGGGCCTCTGTATTGTCAGAAACACACACACACTCACAGCTCCTCTCTCACTATTGACTCAGCAAGTTTGATCGTGATTATTCTTCTCTCGTGTCTCCCCTCCTCTGCTGCTGGCAAACTCCCACTCTGCTGTCCTGTCGTTCCCTTGTGTTTTTCGGACGCCTCTCCCCTCTCATCTCAGCTCCACCTTTCCTCCCCTCGTCTCCTCTCTTTGCCGTCTATCGCTCCTCTCCTGGCTGAATTATTCATGGCAGTTCATTGTGCCAAATGGCCAGTGCGCTGCTGATACAGAAGGATTCATTTCATTAGGGCCCTGTGTGTGGTGGTGTGTGTTTGTGTGAACTGTATATGTATGTGTGAGTGGGTGGTTGGGATAATGGGGCGGTGGGAGGCAGGCTGCCGTGGCAACCGGCTGAAAGCCTCAGAAAAGAAAGGTAGATGGGAAAATGTATAATAACAGATCACATTTTAGTACACTGTACTTTTAAACTGCTTTGACAGGTTTCTTCGATGATTATATGAACATTAACCATCCTGCTGCGATCAGGCACACTAAAGAGTTAATTGTGCTGTTGTATGTATAACATTTAATAGTTTTATTTAAAAATGGAAGGACAGAAAAGATGCCTCTGACAACACAAGTGATTTCCAGAGGTTGAGGGTGTACTCTATGGTTTATTGCCCCCATAAATAAATAAACGTCTTGTGAACTGAGCTATATGACTATCCAGTTCAGTTGATCTACAGAGCAGTTTCAAGCACAATGGTAGGATTATGTATGATGTTTTTCTGGGGCCTGCCCATTGACCCTCATCGGTGGTTTCCCTGTGTTGCTCCACAATGGTGAAACTTGGAGACAAAGTTAGCAGTTAATTAGAGAGATATAACAAAGAACTGCAGGATGTAATGATGTATTCCTCAGAGGTCGACTGCTCTCTTTCACCCTGCAAAATAGGCAATTCAAGGAAGTCATAATATCTTATTTTAGGATGATAAAATCATATTCGTATTATCCAAGATAGATAATCTTGTCAAGCGCAATTTGCTTTAGACCATTAAACCCTCTTCAAGGTAACTGCTCTTCATTTTTCTTAATAAGATATTAAAGCTTTTTTTCAGCTAGAACTGACAAGAAACAAGTCTGATGAGTGGATTGCATAACTAATTGCATGGTGTGCTCATATCCCAGACATATATTGGAGTCTCAGATCATTCTAAAAAATAGGCAAGAGAAAAACAACACTAAATATTGTTTTGTTTTTATTTTGTTGAATTGGTTAAAACTGCTCTCATCATGTTTTATATTAAAAATAGACCAAATGACTCATGTGAAAGGGATTGCTCATAGTGACAAAGCTTCCGACAGTTACATCCAGCCCTGCAAGTGCCCTTCCAAACTGCCACTGTTTTTACCAAAAATCTTTCAGCTTATGGTTTTTTGTTTTTTTCAACACTTATGTCTTTGAATTCACTTAACTGCTCTCTTCATCAACCCTTGTTTCCAGAATGCAAGCAGGCAGCTGTTTTTCAGCAAAAAAAAGCCATCCCCGTACACCTTATCTTGCCCAGCAAAGCAGACAGCCAAGTCAGCCTGTGAAGCATTGTAAAAAACCAAGATATGTCCCTCAGGAGTCGTGGAGACCAAAACAGAGAGACCAAGGAAAGTTTATTTTAGACTTACATTCATCAGGGTTTACCCGGGTTTGTGTCTGCTTGAGTGGTATACATAGCCAAATGTTTGCTGACCATGTTCGCTGTGTCAACTTCAGAATAAGATATGTTGTTTGTTCCACAGCCTTTTTGTGGCTGCCAAGATCAAATTTCATGCTTTAAATCAGGCGTAAACAAGCCAGGAGAAAAATATTAACTCCCGAAGCCTTGTTTAAAAAAATTTTTGTTTTTACCTTCTTTAAGACGCAGAGCATTGTATTGTGGTGGCCCTGATTTATTATTCTAGTTTCAAGAAATCTTTTGCAATCTTTTGTTTACCCCAGTTAAGCAGAAATGTTCTAGAAGGAAGATTTTTTTTGAGCTTTGAAAGGCCTGACTGTTTTCATCCCCAGTTTATTGACTTATATGAACACACAAGTAGAAATTCTCTGAGCGCAGCCTTTGATATAAGGCAAAACTGCCAGTACAGTGTGTTAACCAGCTCCTTTTTAACGCATCAAACTAGACTTGATTGGTTCTCCTTCCTGCCTTTAATTTAATATTCAAGGCAAAAAAGGCCAGTTGCTGAATTTATTTTAAGACCAACCTGCCTTGTTTGGTTTTAACCTGGCTTTGGAAGAGAAAATTTGTTACGGGGAAACCAATCTGGAACAATGCCTACAACTGTGTGTCCTGTGAGAAACACAACAGCAAATGGAGTCCTGGGGTGGGCTGATCTGGGTGTTTGTGAAAAGGCACAGTGTCCTTTGTCTGCACCCAGCCAAGACCCCCCCACCACCCACACATCCCCTCCCACCAGACACACCATTCATCTCTCTCTCCATTTCTGCTCAGTCTCCTCCTCCCACTTTGACTGAATTTCAATCCTATCCTCCTTCCTCACCTTAATTTTTCCATTTTTGCCTCTCAAATGTTGTCCCATCTTTCATTAAAACAACTTTTAGTTCTCCATTTAACAACCCTGCTTTCCCTCCCTTTTTTCCAGTGGCCAAAAATATATAAGTCATAACAATCCAAGGCATCACCTTGCCAAAGATTTATGAATACATTTTGATTAAATAAGTCGACAGAAAAAATGCGATGAACATGAAATCAGGAATCAACTAGAAAAAGTCTGGTTTTGGGCAGCATGTTTTGTTAAGGACAGTGTGTAGGACTTGTGGTCCGAATGTAAGTGCCAAAAAAAGCAAAAGGCCCTAATCTAGAACGCAGTGTTAGGTTTTGTCCTGTTCTGGGCCTACTGTAGAACAGGGTGGGTTCAACGATGGCGGACGTCCATAATAGAGGAACCCCCAACTGCTGTAATGAAAAATTAGTCCATCTAAAGTAACAAAATAAACAATTCTTTTATTTTCAGGTGATTTTTAACAACTAAATTGAAAAGATACCTATGGATATTACATTCATTTTCTGCCAATAGATCCTCCTAAATGTTACACAGTGGACCTTTAAGAGTGAAAGACATTAAATCCTGGGCCAGGCCCTGGGGTCAGTGGACTGCAGTGCAAATATTTTATGGCCAGTGCCTGTCGTTCTCTACTTTGAACTATCAGTTATGAAGCAGATATGCTATAGGAATTCTGTTTAAAAATACAAAAAGGCTATAAAATATAGAATTTTGGAGAGAAGCATGGAGGGAATGTAGAAAAGCCAAATCTAATCTCTCTATCAGGATCTAACCCACTTACACTGTGTTTGTTTGAGTGTGTGTGTGTGTAGTCAGTGGAGCACCTCTTTACTGATATAATCTGACAGAAAATGGCTTTTGTGGTCCAGATGTTTACTCTCCAGTAGAAAACATAAGCAACAGGCACTGTGATACTGGTGCTTGTGGGTATGTGTGTGTGTGTGTGTTTGTTGTTTCTCTTCTGTCCTCACTTGCATGTAAGTGTAAGTAAGCATAATTATTCTGTTCATTTCTTAATGGCCAAATAATTCGTAGAAATGGATGTGTAATAATAAGGAAATTTAAGATGATGAACAGTTAAAAGTGATTTACAGTTGCATTTCAACTGTTATGCTCATTTCCAAAATTTTTTTTTAAAAGGTAGGACATATTATATATATTATAGTTTTCTCAATATAGTACTACTTACCAGAGGGTATCAATTGAAATCGCGGTACACAGCTGATAGAAAACCACTCATTAAATTCTACAGTTTACGTCTAGTCATGATACATAAAAAAAAGGAAGAAAATGTGTCAACTTTGCGCTTCTCTTGCAATCGTGTCCTTCCCCTCAATTTATTCTCTCTCTCTCTAGTACATTTAATTGGCTGCAGTTCTAACCTCAAGAGGGCAGGGAGACTGCTTATTTCCATACTCAATGGCTATTGGCCATGACCATTTAAACCTGACACCTGACCGGCTTTTCTCCTCTAATAGCCAACTAGCTATTTCAGGAGAGAAGCCGGTAAAACCACAGATTTACACATCACATTGGTAGTGTCTTGTAGAAATCTCATCGCTAAAATGGTACAAATGAATGCAATTTTTTTTTTCAGTTCCTTCGTTTTTTTGCAAGGTAATAAACAATTTTTGCTCTAACAACCGAACATTAAGGTTTGGAAAATATACTTGCTTTAATAGGAGGATGCAGTCTAGTCTGTGAAACCTGCGGTGCATTTTCACTCTGGGATAAACACACTGAACTCTGGTCCAATTACTTCATTATCCAGGGCTTACAGACACAACAGCAGTCTCCTCCCACCTTTCTCTCTGATGGATTTAACTCCTCTGGTTTGTCTGTTAGCAGTTGTTGTTGCATTTTCAAGTCTATGCCATACAACAATGAAATATTTCTTTTTTTGGAATTGCCATATGTGATGCTATGCACATGCTATGTGATCTAAAAATGCATTTATGTGGGAACACTATAGAAAAACCCAAGACAAACTCCTTCTGTCACTCCAAAGCAGACTAGCTGAGTAGCACTGCATTACATAACCAGGTCTAGGATTGCATCAAGGCCATATGGCACTCCTCCATGACCACACAGAGATGACTGCCCCAGATCAGCCCTGCTTGGGGGATTTTCACAGTAGGCAACAACTCAACTCAATCTGATACACATTAGCCTGCTAATGTGTTTTGCATGATAATTGCAGTGCAGCGGGTAGTCGAGCCTTCTGCTGCTTCCTGTTGGGTAAAACATTTTTTTATAAGTAACTTTGATATTAGGATAATAAAATCATATTTTTATTATCCAAGATAAATAATCTTTGTCTTTTGCTTTAGATCATTAATATGTTTCAAGGTCATACATATTAAGATAGTCAAACTTTTTTTTCAGCTTTAACTGACAAGAAATTGTGGACTGCATAATTGTCACATTCACATCCTGGATATGAGATAAAACTAGATTGAATGTTAATTTCAAGTAAAAATCAGACAATGTTATGAGTCTATTAAAACAAATCCCACAACAGCTCCAAACTGCATCCTGCACCTGCTTCATGGTGTTTCATAAGCACTGTTTTCCATCACTTCCATGCTGCAGTAGTAGTGGATTGCTTGTATGTGTGTGTGATGCAGCTGCTCTCAGAGTTTTGAAAAATCTCCATATGGAATAGCTAAATTTGGCAATGAAAGGCAATGATGCTCGATTGAAGAATTCACATATGGTGTTCTTTTGATCTCGAGCAGTTCAGCTAAGTGTGGTGAGCCTGAAAAAGAAAACTTCCCCACAGCCAGACACATGGAAGCCTGTTGAGTCTCATTACTGGGATATGCATGACATGCAGCCTGATACACTGACAACGAGATGCACAGAAGTAAATCAACCTTTTGGATACTAGACAGTCATGTATTGATCCCTGTTTTTGAGGATTTTATATTTTTCAAGAATAGGAAATCTTTTGACCCTCCTGACTAAAAGGTTAAGTAAAAACAATCAACACGTGTCTGCTGTATCTGATACAACAATATACCTGTAATACAGCAAATTTATTTCTTTTTTTAAAATAAATTATTTATACATTCATAAGATTTATAAATGTATAAATCTCAATTTTCTGATTTTCTGGGGTGTCAGTAGACTGTAATATTGCTGAAGGTCGGCAGAGCATTGGCTTGTAACCTTTTGCACTTCTCATTGCTCTTTCTATTCGCTGTGCCATGAAAATGTCATGGAAAAAATATTTGATATATCATTTTTAAAGGTTTCTTTCTTTGTTACAGGTACACTAAAGGGGAGCTGGACATTGCCTACATCACATCAAGGATCATAGGTAAACACATGTCTTTTTTGAGTTCAAATCTGAAATGATTCTCTATATCATTAAAAACTTGCTTATGACTAAATGAACAAAAGTAAAAAATGTGTTATTATTTAGATTATTTAGCATTTAACACTCAAAAACTCAGCTAATCTGTTTTATTTAAGACTGTGTGGGTTTTATTTTGTTAGCAGCAACCCGACATCTATCATTAAATCAAAATTCAAATGTTGCTGAGTCCTGATTTGTGCATGAAAATACATAACTGAAAATAGTGTTTTCATGTAGGATCCTACTTTAAACTTAAAATATAAAAAACTACTTAACAGATTAGAAAGTTGAAGTGTGTTATATCTGCATAATGTATAGTACACATTAACATACACATAAATAGAGACCTGCACTCTCAGCTTTCCCTTTGTCTTCTCCTTTCATTCTCAAATTGCTTACAGCTTCACATGAATGTGGAGCAGCACTGTGTGTCCTTTAGAGAACATAGTCAGCTGGACATTTGTCACCTGAGGCTGTCTATCCCATAATGCCATGCATGCAAACGCTGATAGTCATGCTTGAATTTAGACCTACTCTCCATATTTCAAATTTCAAAATCACTTATTGCAGGATAATAGTAGAAAAGGGTGAGCGGTAAAGGACATTGTCAGAGTTTGAGCCAATTATACAAAGTGTATGTTAACGTCTGCACCAACAGTGCATGAAATTCTTCAAATCATCTCATCCAGCAGCTGAATAATGGATTTTTGTTTTTACAGTGATGACCTACCCGGCGGAGTCAGTCCAAATTGGCTACCAGAACCATGTAGAGGACATTCGCTCCTTCCTCGACAGTCGCCATGCTGACCACTACACTGTCTTTAATCTATCACAGCGCAACTACCGCGGCGCCAAATTCTCCAACAGGGTGAGTGTGATACTGCCCCGTGAGGCTAAAGATGAAGCCCTTACAGAATTATTAATTTGTACCTAGTTGTTAGTGGTTTTCACTCCCTGGATTATTATAACACTAGAGTGAGATATGAGGACTTACTTACAGTTTGCTGCCTATTTTTGGTCTGCCAACATTTTAAGTGGGACCATCGCTACATGTGCTCATAAACTATGGAAGCATCCAGAGTGAAGCCTCTAATTCGATTTCCCCAATTATACCTTTCATTGCTCGCCACTCCTCTGTTATTAAAGCTACAATAAGTCATTTTTTGTCCACTGGGGAGCAAGTTGTTGTAGGGGCGAACCCGTAGAGAATTATCACCCAATGCCCCACAATTTCACAAAGCATTTTAGCATCTTTCATATTGTTTTGGCAACAGCCTGAAACTTTAGTGTTTTTTTCACCCTCACCGCTTTCATCAGTGAAGCTTCAAGTCAGATCAAGCAGCTGTTTTCGGCTGCTCTGATAAAGCTGTGATAAACCCACTGTTTGCAACTTGTCCAACACCAGACAGCAGACTAATGTCTGTCTAACTGTCTGCACCAACACCTTGCTTTCTTTAGCTTCAAAGAGCTGCAGAGTTAGGTGTTGTGTCTCAGTGGGACCATATTATCATATTATGCAGTCATTTTATATTAATATCTACAGCAAAAGAGATTTAATTGAGACAAAGACAACTGACTCTGACTGACTATACAACTCAGGAAGTTTACTTTAAGTTTAGTTAGATAATACCATATAGTGATTTTATTAGAGCCCCACAGCATCCCCAAAATCTTCCTCCAGTTAACTGTTTTTGTGAATGACATTTGGGCATTTGGGGATGTCCTTGAGTGACATCAGGGAACATACAGTACTTTTGCAGAAATAATAACCATTTTTAATCTTCAACAAATGTAACACAGCAGTGATTCAACATGCAGCACGTTTTTTACTTCACCACAGCAATAACCACTTCACCAGATAAGTCTCTAAATATAAAATATAATTGATGGGTCACTAATCCAATTGTCCCAGCTGAATAACCATTCAAAAACCAGAATTAATTTGGATTTGGATTCAAGTGAAGGCACACGTGGGATCCGTATATATATATAAAAAAAAAAGACTGCCACCCTCTGGCAGAAACATCCAAGAAAGCTGAGAAGTCAAGCTGTGGAGTTAACATGGCCAAGATGGCCCCCTGTCTGCTTGTGGAAGTCGCTGTAAATCTAACAGATGACTCATCGTGGCAGCTGGTGTGTTGTGTTTCTCTGCTGCTGCAGTGCTTTTGCTAACCTCCACTTCTCCTTTCTCCTCCCCTCCTGATTTTATGCCCTTGTTTTATTTATTAAAAATCTTCCTCTTATTCTTAAACTGTCTTCATCCCTCTTCTGTCTACTGTCTCTCTGCCTCTCTACTCTTTTTTCATTCGCAATCTACCTCTTCTCTGCCATTGTTTTATGTCTGTTTCTGTGTCTCCTTGTTTTTCTCATTCTTCCTCCCTTTTCTTATTTCTTGTGCCACTCCTTTCCAGGTTTCAGAGTGCAATTGGCCTTCTCGCCAGGCTCCCAGCCTTCACAACTTGTTCGCTGTGTGTAAGAACATGCACAACTGGCTCAAACAGAATCCCAAGAATGTGTGTGTCATCACCTGCTCGGTAAGAAGACGCTCACATTTACCATCATTACATCCATCCCTTACTTCCATTTATTTTTTATTGATTGGGGACATGACATCGTAATGTTTCCCTCAGTTTTTTATGAAGTGAAGGTATAAGAGGCCCTTTTGATGCATTGGGGCCTGTTTTGATTCTCCCACAACACATCTCCAAGTATTTGGAGTTATGTTTTAATTGTCCTGTGGCTGTGACCCACTTTTGAGTCTATGCGCAACGCTCCAAATATGCTGCCAGAGGACTACTTAAAGATACTCAAAGTCCCTCGTTGTCACCTCTAACGTATTTCACTGCACAATGATTAATTTGATATGCATTTTATTGCCAACGCAGGTGATTTGTCATGTTGGCCGTTGCATCAAATAAGGAGCTTTTAAGAAACTTAAAGGAAGTCCTGATCCAAAAAATCTTTATTTAAACTGGAAACAGGATTTAACAGCATGAAACGTGGTGATTGTACTGTGACAAAAATGATATCTTTAATGATCATCATCAACATAACCATCAGCAATCTTTTGTTTTAAAAAGTAAAGCAACATTTGCAAGGTGATCTTTCCACCATCCATCAAATGAAGGCTAGAATACCACATAGACAAGAAAGGAAAACAAACCCCGCTTTTAGCCTCTGTCCTATTTCTCTGCTCGTCCTTTCCTTTCATTGTTACCAATGCTGGATGTGGCAATGTTGGTTTGTCATGTTTTCAAATACAGTAAGATCCGTTTGGAAAACTCCCTCAACAACCTGTTGCACTTTAAGTACCCCTGTAATGACACATTAAAGCTTTGATAATGCCAGACATATTTCAAGCACAGCTATAAATACCTATATTCTGCAGCACAATCACTACTGAAATATTCACTGAAACTGGCTTTTCTGTCTATTCTAATTTAGCAACAACAATACTGTACACTAGCATGTGCTAAAGCATGTTATTGCCAAGTAACTGTGGTTTTGCTGTGGCTTGGCAAATTGCTCCATCTTGCATAACCTCCAGCAAACGGTTCCGTTCTAAAAACTGTTTTCTTTGCTTCAGAAGAATGTTTTGTCTCCCTGTAACCTAAAATGAACTCAGAGTACATTTATAACAGTGAGCACATTCAGTGAATAAGAATCTCTACTACCATTACATTTAGTGTTGACCTTATTTGGCACATGACTGAAGCATTAGACATAGCCTTAAAGATCCCCCCCAGACATGTATTAAGACATATATGCAAATATTCTGCTCTGAACAATAATGTGGGTCTGATATGTGATGAGAATCTATGACTATGCAAATTTAGTTCATTTATATGGTTTTCCTGCTGTATACAAGATGACCCTACTTCACTGAAAAGTCAATTTTCAGTGTTTGTGTACTGGTGGCTTCAAGTTTCTACATGAAACTCGTATAAATTGAAAATTGGACCGGGCCTGACAAATTATAATTCATGCATGTATGCCCTGCCCCTAAAATCAGATTTGCAGTGAGAAAAACTTCCCACTTTCAACAGATGAATGTGAAAACATCCTTTAAGTGTCCAACAAAGTCCAACTGGAACAAGAACAAAAACATATTTTTAAGTGGAGGGGAACTTTAAACTTATATATTGTATGAACTTATTTGAGCTATGACTTTTGGCTATTTTAAGAGTTGACCTTTGACCTGGAGTTACATTGCAGATCTACAGCAGGCATTCAGAAAGTTTGAGTCACTGTGTTAACACTTATATGGACATAAAAGGAAGCAGTACAGAGATTAACATGCACAGCAGACAAAATCAAAAGTATATTAGTGAAGCTTTATAATATAATAATTGTTAAGCATTTCTCAATGTGTCTCAGTGTCTCTTTTGTTGTGTGTGTTTTAGGATGGTCGTGGTCCCTCGGGTGTTTTGGTTTGTGCCATGTTCTGCTTCTGCCACCTCTTCAACAACCCGGTTCCTGCCATGCAGCTGCTCAGCGCCAAGAGACCAGGTTCTGGCCTCTGGCCGTCACACCGCAGGTTTGCATCCCTGAACATGTGTGTGCATGTGGGTGTAAGAAATGAGAGATTGAGAAAGAGAAGAGGGGAAGTGAGAGAGAAAGAAAGGACAGGAAACTGGCATCTACAATAGTTTCACACGACTTCAATCTGGCTTCAGACCTCTCTGTAACACATCTTCTTTCCTGTGTTTTCTCTGCTGTCAATTCCCATAGTTTACCATCTAGTGTCAGAATTAACATAAGAACAAAATGAAAGTCAGGCAGAAATAGAGAGGAAAGTTGTTATGTATAGATAGAAAAATAAAGAGGAAGAGGCCTATCACATAAGATTCATGGTCATGGAGTTACAAGTCAGAGTCAGTGGTTTATGTGTGTGTGGGGAGTGATGACTTATTCTATGCAGATATATCTCAGCTGTTGAAAAGACTGATGAAGGTTGTTGCACAGAAATGTAGCTATCTAATAAATAGACCATTAGTGCTAATAGTGAATTGACAATATGCTGACAGCTTATTTTGTTTGTTTTTTTAACTCTTAACACTTGTCTGTATGCATGTATGCAAAGATTGATTTTCACTGAGACATTTCCAGCTAGAAAACACTGAATCTAAATCTGAATACATACATAAATACAGTCCCATCAACAACAGGTTCCACCATCAGCCCTTTATTCTATTTATTTATCTGCAACTTTAGAGGGCAACATTTGTTTTTAGATTCTAGCATTAGAGCATCATTTTAGGCCATTTGATGTTAGGTAGAAAACATGAAGTAGCCACATAGTGCAGCCAGCAGTCCTTAGTTTCCTCAGCCTAAGCATGAATCTTAGGCTGCAGAACTGGCAGACCCTCAAAGATGGACATTTTATTACCTTGCCAGCCAGTTGCTATCGTATTTATCAGTCTATGCCCGAGCGAGATCTCCCTCAGCGTTTATGGAAATGGTGGCAGTAACATAATTCTGGACATTGTTCAAAGCTCTTAAATCGATTTGCCTGCACTTTTCAGTGTGTTTCACCTCCCTCTAACTGTGCTGTGTTCCACTTTGCTGGCTCGATACAGCTTCTGAATGTATAACTGTGAATTGTGAATGACTGTTGATAAATGTCACCATAAAAAAACAACTTACATGTGAAAACAAAGTGAGGGATGCATTGGACACTGAAAAATTAAGCTGGATAAGAAAATGATCTGGTCTTCTCTCTGTGCAGGTACATAGGCTATGTGTGTAGCATGGTATCAGAGAAGCCCAGTCTACCCCACTCCAAGCCCATGGTGATCAAAGCCCTCACCATGACTCCGGTCCCGTGCTTCAACAAGCAGCGTAGTGGCTGCCGGCCCTTCTGCGACGTCCTCCTCGGAGAGACAAAGATCTTCACCACTGCACAGGAGTACGAGAGGATGAGGTAGGATGAGGACATAGTGAAATTAAAAGGCCGTCCACACCAAGAACAATAACTATAACAACTACTGTAATGATGTGAGCATCCACACTGATGAATGCAACAACCCCCAGCTATGTCGGTAGATTAATAGGAAAATGGATAAAGTTATTGATCACCTGTTACTGCCGTATGTTGTGCAGAGAAACAAAAAAAAACCAGAAGGATGGGTTCACAAAGACGAGAGGAGTTAGGAGAATTATGTTACGAGAGTTGTTTGAAGAATAACTTTATTCATATTATTAAAAAAAAAAGAGGACATTGTTAAGAACTTCAGAGACCCCATCAGCGAATATGCAGCCGAATATCACGTTATATAAGCATTTGATATTGTTCATCAAATACGATATCAGACACAATATTATTTGCCACTGTCGTTGTTATAGTTGTGGTGTGGAACTATACAATTATAGTTATTGTTCTTGGTGTGGACAACTCTTTACAGTTGCTAAATTAACTGATTATGTGATGTTGTTACAATAACATCCATATTTCTCCCTCCTACACACTCTGCAGAGAGCACAGAGTCCAAGAGGGTAAGGTAGTTTTCCCTCTGGGTGTGAGTGTGCAAGGAGACGTCGTCGTTTCAATCTACCACATGAGGTCAACCATTGGAGGACGTCTGCAAGCTAAGGTAAACTTTATGCACTCTACTGTGTACTGATAAAGTCAACATCTTAATCAAACTTGACAGAAATGACATGTTGCACCACGACCATGTTGGAAAAATCTCCTTGGCATGAGATCTTATACTGAACTGTCAGCCATCAGTCTCAGCATGTGGCTGCGACTTATTTGAATATTTGTCTTGAGTCCAAACAAACCCACAAAATGTTGGGAGGAAAGAAGTAGCAAGAAGTGACATGTTGGAGACAGGTTTTTAATTTCCTGGCATGCTGAGTTTATGGAAATGTGTGGCTTTTCTTCAACAGTAGCACTGTGAGAAACAGTAGACATTTTATTAACCCTACAATAAATTCAGCTTTTTTTCTCTAGTTATAGCCCTCAATTCTTCTGGTTATTGTGTAATTTTACTTCCAACCGAACATTTGCTGATATATGTGTTTAAAGAGTCACTCCCCAACCTTTTTTTTTTTTTTTACAGTTTTTAAATAGCATTGTAAAAGTATATGCGCATGTAAATACAGCTTTTACAGTAGGTCCAAGCTTCCCAGGAACAAGCTAGCAAAATCCATCTGACCTTTACAACAAATAGTTTAGATAATAACTTACCAGTTCAGCTTCTAATTTATTTCTACTGACTAAGTCTGACTGACTGCATTTCCCCTCTGATACCCCTCAGACTCTACTAACTCCAATAAAAAGACTTCTCAGTCTTCATCTTAAACCTATATTCCAGCAATTCAGCTCATAAGTCAAATATGGTCATAGGAATGATAAAAACTATCAAAACAGACTTGTGTTGTACGAGTGATGGTCTGCTGTTGTTAGGTGTCCAACACCCAGATCTTCCAGATCCAGTTCCACACTGGCTTCATTGCTCCTGGTACCACCATGTTAAAGTTTAACAAGTAAGGACATTTCTTCTAATTAATCACTTGTGTTTGTATGACAGACCTTTTCTGATACATACATACTGATACTGATACATATGCTGCTTTCCCTCTCACTCCATGTGCATTTTTTTCTCTCATACACATAATTTCCTCTTAGACCAGAGCTGGATGCATGTGACTCTCCCGAGAAGTATCCCCAGCTTTTCCATGTGATACTGGATGTGGAGGTGGAGGAGGTGGACAAGCAAAAAGACCTGACGCCGCCGTGGGAGCAGTTTCCCTGTAAAGACCTTTGCCCCAACGTGCTCTTCTCCTGTCACCAGGAGCACCAGGACGCACTGGCTATTGCTGGTACTGTGGGGATGGGTACACTGGGGACAAATACAAACTGCCTCTGCTAACGTGGACCGCACACAGATGTTTAATCTATAACATCAAGTTATACATTAGCTTTTGTGTGGATCTCAGTTTCATGAGCCTTTTCTGAAAAGCTCAATGATACCATTGTTTTCTGTCCATAGCTAAATAAGTATCCACTACCATACTGGCTACTAAATGCTTATCATTTAAACAAAGATAAAATAGTGATTATATTAATACTCAAAGGCAACATCTCTCATGACTTTGACACAGAAGCATTGTTAAAGCTTCATGCTAACTGTTACTGTTGGTAGATATTTATTAAAATGACAAAGATTACCACATTGTACCACCAACTACAGTTATAGCAGCAGTTAAATATGCACAGAAAAGCCCTGTATCAAGTTTCAGCTCAAAACCTCAATTAGAAAATACAATCCAGCGGCATATAACCTGTGTAGTTGAATGACTCTTTGATTGACAGTCAGTGATTTTTAAAACATTTTCAATGTGTAATGTTGAAATGCATCTTGTTTTACACAACATTAGGACATTTTTCATATTTATTTTCTTACTGGATAGAGAGCTTCCCAACCAGTGTGTAACATACATTCAGAAAGGCTGATTGTTAACTGTTGATTGTTAGCTGTTAAAATTCTACAAAAAGCAACGACTTGGCTCATTTTAGAATTAATCATAAACCTAAAGTAATTTTAGACCTTAATCCTAATCTTGAACTAATTTTACATTCAGTTAATTGTGACTTGTAAAGAATGTCTTGATTCTCAAACTCTAAAACTCAGACTTTTTCACAAAGATAGAAAGAAGTGAATAAATACACCTCCACAAACTAACACGCTCACAAAATTATTATGCATGTACACTCTTACACCCAAATTTTTATGCACATATGTGTAAAATGGTCAGTGGTGGAAGTATTCAAATCACCAAGTAAAAGTAGAAATACCACACCTAAAAACACGTCATTAAAAGTAAGACAAAATGTACTTACACCCTATGTAGAATGGCCCTTGTCAGTGTTAAGTTTTATTATGGGATCATTATTGATGAATTATGTACTTAACTTAATTACTTAATTAACAATTTATAACTTGGTTGCATGATGAATTTGAACTCCTTCATATACTGTTGGGTAGTTTAATCTGTAATAATGCATCATATTTTATACTGGTCATATAATTTTTTGTGTAAAATCTCTTAATCTTAAAAAGTAGCTAGTAACTATAGCTGTAAAATAAAATGTAGTGGAGTAAAACGTACAATATTATAGTATGAAGTAGCATAAAGTGGATAGACTCAAGTAAGTACCACAACTGTATAAGTACAGTATTTGAGTACCGTAAATGTACAGAGTTACTTTCCATCACTGTAGACGGTGCACAACTGATACGTAGGATAGTGCTGTGTATGCAAAAATACATTCATACACATTTACATGCAGACACGTGAACAAACTAATAAACTAACTCTCATTTTTGTCCCTACAAGATGAGATGGAGGGATTGGATTTGGAGGGTAAGACAGTAGAAACCACAGACCTATTAGAGGAACTGCTCAGTACAGTGACAGTAGTTAACCAGGGTTTGGTTCAATTCAATCATACATTGACCCTATTGACGAATACATCTTCTGTTATTGGAAAATATCTTGGCTGTTTCCATTCACAATCTGTACTGATTGAATTGAAATGAACCCCAACCTTGTTGTGCAGTGATATATCAGTTTGGTGGATGATTTAAATCGGTCACTGTCGTAAATTCCAATTATCTGGAGACCTGAATAAATTACTAGTGTTCCCTTAACACACGTCCCCTGACATCCTACAACAGCAGACTAATGTGTTTTTCCCTGTATGCAGAGAAATATTTGGGAATATTTACAACACATATTGATTGCTAAAGGAAGCAGCTGTAAGTGGTACAAATTTAAAATGTTCTACCAAAGTGAAATATTGCTGTAGATTAATACTACCTGAAGTTTACAGTCCCATCCCTATTAAAAGCATACTGTATATTTTATTAACTGGATTCTGTCCAATTTATTTATCATATTGTCTTAGAAATTATCCCCTCCAGTTACTCTAGCTAAAAGCAGCAACCAGTGGCAAAGTGTGCAGCATAGTAAATTATAGCACGCAGTGCACCGTATCAGGAGAATAGCTGGTGCTTGTAGCAGAGATGACCTACGTAGATGCTCATTATCCCCTACTTTGCTCTTATCCTTTTTTCTCTCAACCTACTCTGTATTTCTGTCTGCTTTTCCCCCAATTAATTTCCTGCTTTGTTATTTCTTCCACTTTCTGCTTTCTCCACTTTGCATGCCTTTGTTTCATTTGGTAATTCACTACATTTTTTCTCTGTCTCTTTCTTTCTCTACCTCTTTCCTTCTATTTCTGTTTTATCCTCTTGCAGAGCCAAGCCGGCCCCACGGAGGTCCGGAAGGTCGGGGCCACGGCGAGGAGAGCGAGCCCTCGGATGATGAGATGCTGTCTCTCTCCAGCCAGCGAAGCAACGCCAGCATTGCCCCCCAGAGACCCGACCCCCCTGCTCCAATGCCTGCTGCCGCTGCACCCACTGAGGAAGTGGATCTTCTTGGCCTCGATGGGGAGGGGATCAACCGGACGTGTCCTTCATCTCAGCCCCCGTCTACTGCAGCCGCAACCACTGACCTCCTGGGGGACTTGTTTGGGGGGCCACCCCAGCCAACCAGTGGGGCGTCATCTGCCCAGTCCACACCACATAAAGTAGTCCCAAACACTGCCTCGCCATGCCCCTCTCCTGCGCCACCAGGTGAGATACCAAGTTTGAAACTACATTTGACACACAACCCTAAACAAAATGTTCTTATTATATGTAATGCTGTGACTAGAACATCTATATTGTGAAGTAAAAATGCTACAATAACACCTTAAGATTTTTGCACATGGAAAACCAGTCAGGTTTATTTAAAAAAATAATATACAAAAAAACCCAGTGGCACATTCTGTAATGCAAAAGCCAAGACAATAACAATGCTGGGTATGTTTGTTTCCCTCAGCGTTTGATCCCTTCGGGACGGGTCCCATGCCCAAGCCTCAGGACATGATGGGTTCATTTCTTGGACCAGGTAATGTGGGGCAGCCAGACCCATTCTTGCATGCTGCTCGCTCTCCATCACCCACCCTGCAGCCTACAAGCTTGGGTAAGGCATGTTTCTACTGCTGCACTCTCACAGCTTTTTGGATCAAATAAAACCTTTTAAAGTAATCAATCAAATCAAAATCAGGGTAAGCATGTCATACAGTATCTGCAAGTCTGCTGCCACATTTTAACACATAAAAGCATTGCGATTGTCTCTGTTATATCTGATTGTCTGTTTTATTTATTTATTTGATTAATTAGACTGCACCATATATTTAATATCTTTCTCAATTTTCTGAGCACTACTCTACTTGCTGATGAATCACACACTGGTTTTGGAAGATATTGTTTTTTTATATATTGCTGCTGTATGTTGGGTGGTGAACGGGTTTGCATGGTGTATGATAAGTATTTGCAGCCTGTCAGATTAGTATTGCACAGAGGTTGCACAGGCTTGATATTTTACCCACAGCACGAATCATTCCCCATCAACCAACAACATTTTCACCCTGAACTGTTCCCAAAGCCAATAATTTAACTTCAAACATGGCAGGGCAGTTCTGCTACTTTAGAGGGAGACATTTCTTTAGACTTGACAACTTTAGTGTGTATGATGATGCACAACAACAACAACATTATTAATAAGCTTTTTAATCAGTGTAACATTTTAAAATGACACAATGATTAAAAGGCATACTGATAATTTTTTTTTTATTTAATGTATATTGCCAGCGTGGACCAAACCTGAGCCCACAGCAATTCTTGTGAAAACAGAGACCTCTATTTCAGCTATTACAATAACATGTACATTGCCTGTGAAATATGGTATGACACTTTTTGGGTGCCCTTTAATCACAGAAATATCAACATTATCCAACCGCCCCCATAATAACACCTCTTCTGAGACTCAACCCTGCTATTATTTTCTCTGGCTGTGTGGGTTCCTGTTGCTCAGTTCCCATTCACTGTGTCCTCAGTCTGTGACGTTTATGTGCTTGAATAGGCCGGAGTTCCCCTGTCCCACCCACCACCCCAACCGTCAACATTCAGCAGCAAAATGCCATGGGAGGATGGGACTGGAACAGGCCAGCCACCGCAAGCACAGGTAGAAACCAGTAACTCAACCAAATACACACTTAATTAACTGGAACAGCACTGAATGTTCATCTAATTCTTTGATCAGGGAAGCTGACCAAACCTTTTTGTGTTTATTCACATCAGTGGAAGTTGGTGGAACTGAATGAGATAAAAAGAACTAAAATGCAACTGTTTTCTCCTGCATTGTTGTTTGTTTATTTACCCTGTAGCAGGCTTTAGTATGGGCAGTCGGTCAGCCACTACAAGCCCCACAGGGTCGGTCCACAGCACTCCTACCCACCAAACCAAGCCAAACACCCTGGATCCATTCGCTGACATAGGCAACCTCGGGGGGAGCCTTGGAGGTCAGTCATTGGAAACATTAGCATTAAACATTAAAGCTAGGGCAGGTAACGTCAAGCAAGAGACAATTCGATTTTAAAAGTATCCAACCGAAACTCTTCAGGGAGGGGGTGGGATATGAACATGCAGTGCCTGAGAGAAGCATAGCACATAGTCATCGCCAGCCGTATCCAACAACCTCATTCTCATTCATAGTTTTACATAGTTTAGGAAAATAACAAATTCCCACCAAAACAAAACAAAATAGGTAATTACCTGTCAGTTCTCATTATTGTTGAAAAGCCACTCCTGTTGACTCTGGTTTAACCTGTTGCTTTATCCAAACTTTCTACTTCTGTGTTTCTTTTCTTGCTTTGTTTAGCACTAAAAGCTGTTGTAAGTAAAGGTCTTCCTCTGCCATTCTTGTGCAACTAGATTGGTAGCTTTTAGCAATATATCCCTGGCCAGCTTGTGGAAGACTTGCACTGAGTGCAGGGGCAGAGTGCGCAAAGGCAAGCAGATAGGTAGGGAGTCAGGGAAATTGGCCAGCCAATCATTTTATTCTTTTTATAGAAAAGCATTTGATTGATTGATTTCTGTCGGGATGTGACGAGAATTTCAACAAATATTACAAAAAATACTTCTGAAATACTTTACATACCTTAGCCTAAAGTATATTAACTCAGTCTTTGTTACATTCACCACCAGGTCTTAAATCATAATATTTGTCCTGTCCAGGTTCTGGCTTCTCCAGCAAACCCACCACTCCAACTGGTACCGCCCCTTCCATCCCTCCCATGGGCTCCCCGTCGCGACCTCCTCCATCTCCCCAGCACGCAGGAGCTGGCTTCCCCTCGTGGCAGCCAGGTGCTGGAAGCGGTGGAGGGTGGCAACCCCAAGGACAGGGCCCTGCCCCGCAGCCAAAGCCCAGCCCCAGCCACACCCCCATGCCTCACACATCACCCCAGAACCGACCCAACTACAATGTCAGCTTCTCTGCAATGGGAGGGGGCTCGCCCAGCGCAGGAAACAAAGCACAGGCTGGCATGGGTGAGCATGTGGAATTAGATTTGATGTTTTCTGGTATGATGCAAATATTGTTGTCAGGATTTAGGTATTCCCCAAAAATCATCACTATGAGAAGTATGTTTATTTTGATCCAGGTGCAGGGAAAAGGAATCCTGAACATTTTATTAAAATAGATTAATGAGCATTTATGTGTTTGGTTTAGAGGTACTGTGTGTGCTGTCTGAGTGCTTCTGTTGCCACTGTATTAATAAAATGACAGAAATGGAGCAAAGCCTGCGAGCTAGTTCAGGCAGTCAACTCAAGCTGCGCTGTTACATACACATGACATGCCTCACTCCATAATCACTAACCAAGCGCACCCTTCCAATCTGGCGGTCTATTTAAACTGCACAATTTCCCAGCTCTCCCTCTGCTCTGTATTTAGTTTGTCTGTTGTCTGTGTCGTCATGCTGCCTGCGCACGTAAGCCCACACACCCCATAGCCTCACCTGTAGGCTCCGGCTAGGTGTTTAAGGACTTGCTATCACTCCAAAGCCTAAACAATGGATGTGAGTCACTATACTGCTGTAATAAACATTTCAAACGTGAGTTGTCTGACTGAAATAGTCATGTACAATATATACATACATTGACACTTAAATATACATATGCAGACAATCTGTTTATCAATTTTGTTGTTTTTATCCTATATCTGTTTCATCCAATTGTTTAGTTATTTTAACCCAGAGCATACATTAGATCTGATTTATATATAGAGATATTTAGGAGAGAGAGCAGAGAGATTTAGTTTTAATACTTAGTGACAGATTTTTATACATTAACCTTTGGTTGCTGTAGGCACATTCATTCTTCAGAATTGATCTGTCACTAAGACAGTTGTTCACAGTACGTTGCATCTAATGTAAAGTGCGAGGATGATCAGTTGCGGAGTAGCTTAAAGATATATGTTTTCTTTCTTTGTGTTTGTCTCCCTCTTTGCCAGGTACTAAGCCCAGGGTCTTGGATGCTAACTTTGATGACCTGCTGTCTGGTCAGGGCTTTGCAGGGACCAAAGAGAAGAAAGGGCCCAGGACTATAGCAGAAATGAGGAAGGAGGAGATGGCCAAAGAGATGGACCCTGAGAAAATAAAGGTCTTTTTTCTGTGATACTGAGTAATATCTGTGTACTAATGAAAATAAGGAGTACTTTTTTGTTCTTTTGTGAGAAACACCATGAAGTCCCATGACCCTTGCATCACTACATCTGAGCAGAATTATGGTTTGACATCAGTTCATTGGGTTTTTATTGTCTGTTTATTCAGTCTAGCACAATAGAAGCAATTCAGTGATTCCCAAAAGTAGGATGGTGTACTCAAAAACCTTTGGCTGTGAAAGCCTTTCTGTTTATTTCAGAATTAATGAAGCCACCAGTGTAGGTCTCCCATGACCAAACTATGGTTCCTCTAATTACTCCTTTAAAAACATTTCACCAGAGCCAAAATAACTGAAAGCATTTCTGCTAATTATTGTTCCAAATCTGGTCATCACCGGCTAATGGTGCGACTTCTGTCTCTCTCCTGTTTGTGACCCAGATTCTGGACTGGATTGAGGGGAAGGAGCGTAACATCCGTGCTCTGCTGTCCACCATGCATACTGTGCTGTGGGAGGGAGAGACGCGCTGGAAGCCTGTGGGCATGGCTGACCTGGTTACTCCCGAACAGGTCAAGAAGGTCTACCGCAAAGCTGTCCTGGTCGTCCACCCAGATAAGGTGAGACAGATAATGACTGGTGGAGTTCATGCGGGGGGAGAAAACAAGGCTTCTCTGTCCTCAAACAAAATCTCTTTTATTAACCCTCATGTTTTGTTGATATTGGCTTTATTTTCTTATTGTTGGGATTTGAACATACATGACTGTTACACATGCAAAAAAAAACAATAAGAATAATTAAATTTTTTTTGCCTTTATTGGATAGTGACAAGTGAAGAGAGAGGGCTATAACATGCAAAAAAATATCTGGAATCGAACCAGTGATTGTGGTGCCCTAAAATAATTACAATTTCTGTCCAATTTTTCCTGTTTCCTGAAGTGTAAAATTTGTTATCCTACGTGGTGACATTACTATGGTGGCCCTTAGGAACTTAGGAAGACAGACAGATTTACGAAAAAACACATATAGAGAAAGTACAGCCAGATATAGAAACACTGTAAATAGCACGGAGATCAACAGGGTTTCCATGGGACACTAAAAAATGATAAACACAGGTTTGTGACTCATGAAGTTATTGAAGGCTGTCTGTAAGGAAATTGAGCTAAAAAAAAAAAACTGTATGACCCAGCTGTGTCCAGGCGTGCTCATCACTTTTTTGTGTCCCCTGGAAACAGTTACTGCAGTGCAGTGTATTTGACTGTAATCTAAGAGACATAAAACATCAAAGGATCGATAAAATTGGCAAAATTAACAGTTGAACAGGAACTTTTTCAAACACGACGTGAACAAAGAAAGTAATACAAAGAAAAGAACCAAAAAAATAACCACTTCAACAATTGGATAACTCAGTGATAAAAAAGTATTTTTCAACCAATCAAATAAAGAACTACCGGTACTATCCTGGTGAACAGAGTTAGCAGTTTCATGAAGGTGATTTACTATATCGCCAATCGTAGCATTATAGTCAGGCACAAAGGTACAACACTCAGAACCAATTACAGCACAAGTTCCTCCTTGGGCTGCTAAAAGAAAATCCAAAGCTGCTCTGTTTTGTAAAGCTAGAAGTCTAACAGAGGCGAGTTCACTCGATATCAGCATGAGAGCCTTACCGGTTTCATTAGCTATAACTTCTATTGCTTGAGACAGATCGGCAATTTGATCTAATGCAGACATAATCCCGTAAAAAGGAAGAAGGGGACCAAGTACATTCTTGAAAGATGATTGATGATGAGTCCCAAAGATATCTGAAGTTCCACGTCGTACTCGTTTAACAGGAGGTTTCTTGGGCAAGGAGTGAGCCACTCTCATAGCTGGGATGACGTATGCCAAGCCACAGCGCCCTTTGTAATTCACAGGAAGATACGGATATGCAAGTTTTCCGCATACCCAGTACATTCCCACAGGAGAGGAGATGGAGCAGCTAGCAGTGCGGTGAGCTAGAGCATTGAGGTGAACCTGGCCGGCTGCTTCCAAACAGTGATCAGGTGCAGAATCGAGGGATTTAAAGTCAGTACTGGTTTGTTCCGGGTCCCATTTAAATGTACGAAGGCAGTCAGATTCTCCTACAGGTGTCTCGCCGTCATTCTGGAGGCACCAAGGGAGCGGCTTAGGAAGCAGCATAATGGGAACCGGTTTTGGCGTTTTGAGACATCTGTAGCAGTTTGCATGTCCTCCAGAACAGTCAAGTGGTCTCATTTTGGTGATTCTGGCACAATCAGCGTGAGAATAAGACTGAGACAAGGGGACGTGCATCAGGTGGCAGGTGTCACAGTCAGAGGCAGGTAAGGCCATTAGAGGTAAACCTTCCCCAGCTGTGTAGGGCATCAGGCCACAGACATAACAGCTGGAATTGGGCCTTATGTGGTTGGCTATCTGCCATGCCATAGTCAGAAAAATATTAATATCATTTACTCTTACGTCTGGTGCTTTCATGACCTGTGGAGCTCCCATGGTGGACTCCACCAAGATCAGTGTTAGGAGATGTAGGATCAGGGGCATTATTGCGGATCCACAAAATCTGGCTCTGGATCTTCACAGTTAGACTTTTAGTTAGTAGTTTTGCGGATATGCTTGCAGAGTCCCCAGCCTCTAGCTGAACATCAGCGCCATCTGGAGTCCGGAAGGTAGTTTGTACCTGTGGGATAAATACAGTGAACAGAGAATGACTAAAAGCAGCACAGCAAGTTCCTCATTGTCCTTACAAATAGCAAGAAAAGTCAAAGGCAGTCATAACTGCAACCCATAAAATGATCTTACTGGGGCGTTTAGTCTTTAGGACAGCCTTTTTCTTTTTACTGTCTGGTATACTCAGGTTATGGCTCTAAGATCTGTTGTGAGATCATGGCAGGTAGACATCACCAGTATGCATGCAAGGAGAAAGTACAAGCCTTCTCACCCCTCTATTTATCCTCTCTTTTATCATAAGGATAGCGAGTGAGTGAATCACAAGGCCCAATCCTGATCAATCATTACGGCAGGATTTCAATCATGAAAACAGGGCAGACTTAGTGGCAGCTGTATTATCAGATTTGTTTGCATAATCCCACAAGAACAAGAGCACCTCTTTGTGAATTTAATGTGACTTTAAAGGACACATAAAAGCTGGCATATCTGGACAGATGGACACACATTCACACATAAATCAGTTATCATTAGCTTAATGAAAGACAAAAGCAACACAATATAGAAATAAATAATGGTAACTTATCTGAACTTAAGGGTCTTATTTTCATTGATTAACACAATGGAAACAGCATTTTGAGGGTCAGCAACATTATTATTGTGCAACAAGTTTTAATTGAAGAGTATTGTAGGCGTTTTGTAGTTTGCTTTTGTTTGAGAATGTTATGTGTCTCTTTGTGTTGTGTTTGTTTGCTTTAGTCCTGTTTATTTGTCACCTTCCCTTTTCTTCCCCAAGGCTGTGTGTAAATTAATGGATTACGTGCATGTGCGCAAGCCAATTTGTTACCTTATTTTGACCCGAATCACGGAGTAAATCGACACCTAATGACGTAAGGCTTGATCTTGCAGCTCTTGAATTTTACGAGCAGCTTTGTTTAGCTAATGTCTGCCCACAGTCCCATCTGTTATGTAAAAGCAGATGTTTGGCCAAAGGTAAAACACCTGCTGTGCATCACTAATTTTAATATGGCGAGAAGTGCACCATGTTTTAAGGTGATTTTCCTATGGGTTCAACTGTTACTGTCTTTTTCCATCTTTCCTCACAGGCGACAGGACAGCCCTATGAACAATATGCCAAGATGATTTTCATGGAACTAAATGACGCCTGGTCAGAATTTGATAGCCAAGGACAAAAACCCCTCTACTGAATAAATAGTGAGAGAAAGTGAGCAAGGAGAGGATGTCCCTGCTGTCATCTAACCCTAAAAATGTGTCACCACCTCTGGTCAACATACTACAGCTGCACCCTACAACATCTGCCTTTATACCTGTGCTTTGACCCGCACTTCTCTTCTCACCACACACACAGAACACAGAACATCCAGTTGATCTGCAAAGACGGCAAAAGACTACCGAACTCCAGTGACCAGACTAACAACTGAACTAATGACTCCCTGTAGCTCAAATGTACCTACCTACTGTATGTATGTGGTGCAACATTTTCCGTACTTGTTGAGTGTCCTTAGCTCTGAACCAACCCACCAATCAAAGCAGATGTCACCGGGATGTCTAGAAAAACAGAGAAACTCTTGATTCAGAGGAGTCAGAACAAAAGACAGGGAGAGACGATGGACACACAAGATAAGAGAAAACACATCAGGGAGTAAACTGAACTGGACTGGTCTAAATAAGGTATTCAGAGCGCCAGATTGTCTGTAAGGCACAAAAAGCATTTAACAGCAATCAAGCAATTTACCCAAAAAACACATTCTATTGGGAAATGTTTTGCTTTGTACTGATAATTGGATGCATGATCAGTTCTGTCATATCAGAGCAACAGTTTTTCATACAATCAAACGTTACTAGAAAGACAAAAAAGAACAGCAGCATCCAGTTACTATAT